TAAATGATAATGCTTACCATATAAATTTATTCGCTTGTGTGGCGATTGCTTGGTGTAATGGTAAAATCCTAGATAGACAAGCATGAGATTATAGGTTTGAGTTTGAGTGACCACATTGTGCACAAAAAAGGTGTCAAAGGTTAGGTATATATCCCATCCACCCCTCCCAAGATCCCAGATAGTTGGAAGAAACATTGAGTAATGGACTTTTTTATTCCAATGTGTATCACAATGTGAATAGTACAACTTGCAAATCAATCCATTTATTTATCGGAGAAATACGGAAACATCCGATGCAGAATTCTGAATTCCAGCCCCCCCCTACTATTAGCCCTCTCCCCCTATAAACCACATCCTGCTGGTGAATTTGACATCAATTCACGGTCATGATGCATTTTCCCTGTACTATAAGGCTATAAAATTCTGATCTGGACTGATTGGTCATTCTCCCTTTATTTATTGGCAACCTATCATTTTTTTGATAATTGGTAACCTGTCAAATTTTATCATTTAAAGAATTGAAATGAAGAAATGAGAGATGATCCAAGCACCCCTATAGACTTGTATTTTTATTTTTTCATTCATACATTCATATACCTTGAGTGGTACCCCCGCCCCCCAATACAATTGATTTCTTGTCACTCCTTGTATTGCCAATGCATCTTCCATTTCTGTTGGTTGACCTATGAGTCCATGTAAAGAAGCCCTGAACCCTCTTGTTAGGTTTCTCACTTCTCTCGTTATGTTCCAATACTGCCATTATCCAGGACTGTTGTGTTCGAGCCATCCAATAATTACCCCTGAATCTCCTTATACCACTATATTTCTGTAGTTCAGGTCTCTCCCCAATCTAGGCCCTTCAAGTACTACATGCAGTCTAGTCCTAATTGAGTCACCATGACCAATTACCTACCTATTGGACCAAAATATATAACCATTATAGCTCCTTGGTTGTTCATGAAAACTTCACCAACACTTGAGAATTACCATGCTTATTGATGATGAGGTTGGGGTTACCCATTGCTTACTAATGGTCCATTGGTCCTACTTGTGGTCTCAGAGTTCCTTTTGTTCATCCTATCATGGATACTTTTGATGGTGAAGTACAGTATCTTGAGAAAACTGTAGAGGCCATCTCCAAGTATGAGGGCAATGAAGATTAAAACCTACCCAAAACATCCCACCCGCAAGGATGAGTTCCAATATAGTTTGAGTGAATTCGTGGGAGAGAGAGGGAATATTTCTATTTGTATTAGAGTCTGACTAAAGGACAGAAATGCCCCCTATATGTATAGATAGGAAGGGGTAGAATTGTCCAATAAAAATTCCAGAAAAGAGGGTTATTCGCTCTTTTATAAGTAACTAATAAAAGTGTACGTGTGTTGCACGTGGCAATATCAAATGATGATGATAGTCAGCAGCCAAATGAACTTACTGGTTGAACCATTAACCTATTTAACCAGGAAATGAACTATGATTAAGACATTAATTCATTTTTTTTCTTTGTATTTTAGCCATTTCTATCTTTACTAACAATAACTTTTTATTTTTCAAACACACTTTTGTTTAATATGAAGAATATATAATATTAATGCATGTTCAAATTTTATAATATTAATATATGTTCAAATTCTTTGTATTATAGTCATTTAATGCATTGGCTCAAAATAAGTTAGGTTTTGGTTGAAAATTTTGGGTTTTTTGGCATTAATTTGGGTTTAGCCTAAGGTCCACATTTAGAGTTGGGGACAAATTAGGTTTTGGTTGGCAAATACATGTTTTTGGCGTTAATTTGGATTTAGGCTAAGGTTGATATTTAGAGTTTGTCATGGATATATTAGTCCTTAACCTCACCCAATCCATTTAATTTAGGCTCCATTTCTTTTTCTTTTGGCCATTTACCCAACACATTTACTTGTGTTATTTTATTTCCCAAGTGAGATAATAACCATTTTACCCTTAAAACGATAGAACTATAAGGGACAATAGTAACTCATTACCAAATACAAACTTCTAGTTCTAGTCTATCCATCAACATTTAGACCCCACAAACCCAACACATTTTCCTATCCCCTTTTTGTAGATGAGGATACTCTATATTATAGAATACCAATTCAATATTTCAACTGTTATTTTTTCTTTTTCTTTTATTAATTTATTACCTTTTTTAAAAATTAAATTGGATCATATCAGATTCGAATATTTAACATCTTGATTGGATTCAGATTCGAATCAATCTTTATGAGATCTGATCGAATCTTTGGATTAGATCAGATTTGAATATACCTTAATTCACATCTAATCTGATATGTTTGCATTCCTACCAAACCACTTGTCTACGATGACCTAACTAATTAAATTATTGAACCATTTGACATGGTTAGTCGTGTCATGTGTTAGACATTAATGCTCTTTATTTTTTATCCTAACTTTTATTCCATTTCTATCATTAATGAAAATAATTTTCATTAATCACACTTTTTTATATGATGAATATATAATATTATAGAATGTACTCAAAATTATCGACAAATTTCTACATTTTTTAGAATTTTATGTATTTTATTATTTAATAATAACATCCATTTGACATAGATAGTTTAACCACTAACCCATCACTTGGATGGAAAAACCATTTTACTTTTTCAGTTAATTTTAAATCATGTATTCCATTTTCATCATCGATAAAAGTAATTCTTATTTTCACATTTATTTTTGTTTAATATGGTGAATATATGACAATAGAATTGTACCAAAATGCTTTATATAATGCTTATATTTTTCTTTGAGTTTATATATGTATGTATGTATGTATGTATGTATGTATGTATGTATGTATGTATGTATGTATGTATGTATTTAATATTCGTTACTTAGTTATGACATCGTAGATTGTCCCATTTGACCTGGAATGCTAGATCATTGACCTACCTACCATCTAGATATGGAAATTATTTCATTTCCAAATTGGTTTTAAATTTTGTATTTCATTTATATCATTGTTAAAATATTATTATTTATCATACTTATTTTTGTTTATATTATTAATATATAATATTATAGATGTGCCCAAAATTATTTCATATTTTTTTGTACTATTCTATTTTAATTTTTTTTTAATCATACATCATGGGTTAACCTATTTAATCTGAAAGGTGTACCACTAACCCACCCCCTAGATAGGAAGATGGTTTAATTTCCCATCGGTTTTAAGTTGTATATTTGATGTCCATCATCAAATGTGTCCAATTTTTTCTTTCAAATTTTTTCTATATTTTTTGTATTTCTTATATTTCTAAATTTGTATTATTTATTTATGATATCATGAAATTATCCATTTGAGCCAAATGGTTGAAGTACTTACCCATGACCTAGATGGAAAATATGACTTCATTTCTAGGTTTATTTTAAAAATATAAAATTTCATTCTATTAATAATTATTGTGTATAGATTTATTAGTAGAATTTAATGCTGATAAACAAAAATATTTTTTATATTTCTAAATTTGTATTATTTATTTATGACATCATGAAATTATCTATTTGAGCCAAATGGTTGAACTATTTACCATGAAAAATAGGATTTAATTTCTATGTTTATTTAAAAAATATAAAATTTTATTCTATTAATAATTATTGTGTATAGATTTATTAGTGGAATTTAATGATGATAAAAAAGTATAAATGTTGGATTCAATGAGAGAGAATGTGATTTATTTAATGACTTAGATGTAAGACTTAATGAGAGGTAATTGAATGCACTTAAATGTATTCTTTTAATTACATTTTCTGCCCTTTCAATAGAGCTGAACTAAATTTTAAGAGGAGGGGTATTTCAGTAAAGAAAAATTGCAGAAGCCAATACCTTCTAATTTACACTTTTATAAGTAGTTTAGATTTAGATATAAATTTTATTTTATAAAAAATCATCTTTCATATTAATAATTTTTATTGTTATATATATTTTCACACTAAATACACATGCGTAGCACGTGCCCTTTATTTCACATAAATTTCCAAATGTTTGAACATTGAAGGCTATTGCCTCCAGCCATGTTTGATTTTAGACAAACACAGTCTAAGGGCCTCAACCACTATGATACAGAAAAAAATTACAACCGCATAAAACGATAATCAATCAAGTGGATAGTATTCCGGTACCACGTCTTTCCTTTTCGGTATCATAGATTTTCCCCCAACAAATAAAGGACCCAGGGCATTGTTTCTCGTTCGGATATCAGGATTCTGGAGGCAGCCCCCGGTTCCATCCAGCAGGGGAAGAAAGCCCAGCTGCCCAAGCCCAAGGTTTTAAAGCCTGTAGCCGTACTGAAACCATAGATCTCCAACAGTCCTACTTGTAATTTTTAAGGAAAAAAAAAGAAAAAAATAATCAATGGGCGGTTTTGGCTTTTGCGGCTTTTGCCACTCGGATTAAGGAAAATACTAAAAAAAACCCCAACTAGTAATTATCGGGTATTTTGTGTCCTACGGGAATTCGATACTTTTCAATACCAACTCTAATTGTTTCGAAGAGTGAAGCGACAAAGCCAACCCCACCCGTCAACAGACTGTTATGACCGACAAGAGGCCATCTGTTGACCAGATGATCTGATCAATGAAATGGTCCACAGATCCAACGCCATTTAAACACTAAGCAGGAAGTAGTTGTAGCTCCCAGTAGCGTATTGTAGGTAGCAAATTCCTGTGATAGTTTGCAGGCTGCGGCTACAAGTGGCGGAGCCGGCCCATCGCCCCATTCCCAGGTCGCCATCAAGAAGCCGAGTTCGAGCGAGAGGAGTCGCAAGCAAACCAGAGAGAGAGAGAGAAAGAGAGAGGATATAAACGAGGAAAGGTTCAAGCATTCCACGCAGACCAAACCCATCTAGTCAGACAGCCCCAATCCTCGTTATATAACAATTCACATCTATACTTTTCTATGCTTTCACTTTTTCCTCTTTTCGGTTCTTCTCTGCAAGAAAAAGAAAAAGATGAAATTAACGATGAGATCTTGGTCAGATTTCCTGTCTAATCTCTACACCCTAACCATCTTCTCCCTCTATTTGCTATTCGAAGCAGCCCAGTTGATCCAATCGGCTGCAGTAAGATCCTGGTGGTTCAAAAAGTGCACAGTCTCGACAACTCAGTATCTAGCTTTGGTCGAAGAAAAGCACCCAGTAATTCGCTACAAGAGCACCGAAATGAGGCCGGAGTTGAACGAGTGTGCTGTCTGTCTGACCCAGTTCGAGGAAGGGGAAGAGGTGAGGGAGCTCGAATGCAAGCACGAATTCCACAAGGAGTGCTTGGACAAATGGCTTCAGCACAGGCATGGCACATGTCCTCTGTGCCGGCGTTCCGTGTTGCCGGAGCAGATTGTGTTTGAGCAATGCCAATTTCAGAGCGAGCAAGCGTACGACGGCCTCCAAGATGATCTGATTTTCTTCTTCCCTGCCCAACATGATGCTTCCTTTTGAGGAGGGGTTCTGTGTCTTGGGGACATCACATCCATCCCCATTCATTGCCGAATTGAAACCCTTGTTGTTTCTGTAAATTATAAATAGTTTTGATTAGTAGAAAATTCTTGGGAAACTGCCAAAGTAAATGACTAATTAACATTCTCTGAGTCTGAGCATGAGTTTTGTGCTATTTACTTCTTCCTCGTTAGAATCAGAAAACAAATGCCTAAAAAGAGGGAGAATGTGGTGAGAATGCCCTTCTTTTTCTCTTCCCTTTTCTGCAAATACAGGGGAAGTTTCGCCGTTCAACTTCCTTTGTGACTGTGGCTTATCCGTGATTCAGTGGGCGTGGGGAGAAAGTAAACTAGAAAAGAAACTACAAAGGAAATGGGGCTGTTTCTTATTTTATTCCAGATTGCCACGCCATGTCACCACATGGTAATATTATATTAATTTATGTTGTTTCGTTGTCTCACTCACACATCTTCACCTCCTCCGACGCTGATGATTCCTCCCAACACCGTGTTTCAATTCAGGGTCTTGACCATCTCTATGTCTTTCACTAATAATCCGTCAATCCGTCATCATGAGAAAGCAGAAAACTTTTCACTCTTGCTCCTTCTGGTCGGCGTTTCTACTTTCTACTTGTTTGAGAATGTTTTCAGGCAGGTTTACACTACATCGCGCTATCTCTTGCTCCATCTGGTCGGCGTTTTTACTTGTCTGAGAATGTTTTCAGGCAGGTTTACACTATATCGCGCTATGTCACAGGTGGGAGATCAAAATGAAATTGGTAATTTGCTTTAGGCCAGAAATGGCTTCGTCGTCTTCCTTGTTCAAGCATTCGAATCAGATAAGCTCTTCAATCTACTATAAAATTAAATTCATGGACGTTCTGCTCAAATATGCTTGAAAAAGTTATAGATGTTATCTCCTCTCATTCGTCTCTTTCGTGGATTGCCCAAGGAACCGTTGTTGAATCCTCAATTCCACGATGGATTAGAACACGAGGCCAACGGTTCCACGGGAGAGACTAGGGCTTTGTTCTCAACCAAGCGAGGGTTTGATGTTGATTTAAACTAGGATTTATGGGTGCTATCTATTTGCTCTTTTCTATTAGTTTTTGAGAGATTTGGGCATTTGCTTGAAAATTAGATGATTCTCGAAGGATATTGATGTCCTTTCATATGACACTTAATTCATTTGAAGCCGGATCTGCTCCTCACACAAGCTGCCTCACACAGATCTCACAGGTACATCTCACCGTGGATTGGGAACATCGCCCGTAATTATGTGTTATTATTTACGGAAGATATTCCCAATGTTGGGTGGGATGTGCCAGTGAGGTCGTTGTGAGAAGCCTTCTGTGAGGAGCAGATTCAATTCTAATTCATTTAACGATTTTGAATTAATCTTATGGTATATCTGCAGATACAACACCATTTTCTCTTATGTGTGGGTTGGAAGCACCTGAGAAAATGGTGAGTTTTTTTTGTTTGGAAACGTTGTTGTCAGGTAGGATGTTTTTTGTTTGATACCAATGTTCCATGAAATGTTTTCAGTGCACTGGTATTCAGTGCTATGTCATTGCCACGTCACGTTCCTGTTGGTAGCAACAAACTGAGGAAATGTCAAGTTTGGCATTGCTCCAAGCCATGCCTTCCCGATTTCCAAGGTGTGGCTTGGAGCACCATTTTTTATGGAAAAACGATTTCAAACAAATAGACGTTTTTTGGAGCACCATTTTTTTCAACGTGGCGCTGATGTATCGCTATTTTCTGGAGCAACGACATCAATGCTAAACAGTAGGGGTGTCAATTGGACTAGATTTGGTCCAATCCGGTCCAGTCCACTATGAGTCCATTACAAATGGTCCAATCCAATGAATATTTTGGACCATTTTGGACCGGTCCAGAGACTATCCAATCTGTTCGAATTCTTGTTAATTTAGATTAGTTTCAACTCAAATCTGGTCCATTGAGACTTATGTTTTTATCTTCTATCATTGGACTAGATATTGGCTCAATCCAATATAAGTTCATTATGGATAGAGCATGTCCAATCCAATATGTCATATTGGTCCATCCAATCCGTCCAAACTTAATATGTCTTATCGGTCCGTCCAATCTATCCAAATGAATTTTGATTTGGATGGAGTCCAACCCAAAACCGGTCCATTAACACCCCTACCAAACAGATGCATAGTTTTCCAAAGTCTAAGTACATTTTGAAGATAGATACTAAAGCTTGACTGTAATAATCTATAATTTACCCAAAACAAAAGATAGAATAAAGTAGTGCTAAGGATAAGATATTTATTTGTGTGGAGGATAAGATAAGTTTATTATTATTATTATTATTATTATTATTATTATTATTATACAATTTCTATAAAGTTTATAACTAATAAATTTATTCTTATACATATATAAAGTAATTAATTTAAAAAAAAAAACATTTTTCAGTTTAAGCACAATAAATCGGACTTAATCCAAAACTGAGCTGAGAGTCCAACATATCAGATTTCAAATTGGGTTCAATGGAGATCGGCTTCAGTGATCACACCGTTCTCACATCCTTTAAAGTCATGTATTGGAAATATCTTCGTATTTGTATGCTTTTTTTTTTATGGAGAGATATTCCTAATGCAAGGATGCAAGGGACTATGCGAATAGTGTAGCATGGTCTTGTGAGCACTTAAGCCGATTTCTTCAACATGTAGTTGGATCCAATCTGATTAGAGTCTTAAAGAAAATTGCAAGTTCTTGTAAGTTTAATTTATAAGGATTCAAGTGTTTCTTCTCCCACAAACCAATACCATAGTTTGATCCAATCCAAACTAATTCTGAACCTTCACTTTTGTATGTATTTGGTAGAACTTTCATTTATTAAATAAACATTTGTACTTGATTTGTCTTCAAAACCGAGAAAAGTATTTGATAAACAGTTTATGGACAATTAAGCACTATTAGGTGCCACATCAGCGGAATGGTGAGCCATTGAGGGAAGTATTAAAATAAAGCTTCCCCCAACGATTGGTGCTTCACATAAATCAAAATCCACATTTGTGAATATCAATGTGTACTAATGAATATGATGGGAAAAATGCTGATTTGGTGATGATATGATAGCGTTTTAATAAATGCCTATCACGAAACGTCCACAAAACAAAATGCATGCAAACCAATGATTCCCTCCTCCGTTAAATGTTCAATTTCCTTTTTTTTTGAAAGAATATCCTTTTAAATCTCATTCAAACCTTTATAACCCTCTCCAACAAAGCAAGTGTTTAAAACCCAAACCCAAGTTTTCACAATGTATCACCTCGGTTGATGCGTATTGATTGTTCCAGCCCAACGGTGATAACCCATCCCCCAAACCCAACCCAACCCAGGTGCAAGCGGGATTAAAGTTTATATAATTGATTAAAATTTTTTGTGTGGAATAACTTATTTATATTCATATAAAATTTATAATTATTATTTTTATACTTCTTTAGAATTAGTTGAGTTTTCCAGCCCATTGTATCCATGCATATCGAATAAACTGGATTTCCTCACAAAATTGGTCCTCACAGCCCTTGCAACCTTTGCAGCCATTGCAGCGATGCATTGGACTATCTCCCCCATAAATAAAAACATAGACGGATGAGTACCAAGACCAATTTTGTGGTGAGGAAACCTGAAATCCATATCCAACCATATCTTGATACACGCATCTCTTAAAATTGCCTTACACCTTACATTTCTAATACTTTGGACCTTTGTCCAAATTTGACCAAACATATTTCTATTCAATCCCATGCGTTATATAAATTTACTATCATAATTTAAATCTTTTTGTCTTTGTCATTCGTATATGACAATGTGATTTTCTTTCTTGATTGGCTCCTTCGTGGCCATTCGTATATGGCAATGTGATTTTGGTTTAAAGTGTGATTTTGTCTTTAAACATTTCCTATTTTTATTGTTTGGTTGGACTTCACTTTAAATGTTTTTTATTCTGTATCACAGATTAATACCCATTAAAGTGTGATACATCAATATTTGGTTTCAAGAAACAGGTGCATTGGGAGAAACAAGAATTTGGTGTTTCTCCAAATGCCTTATGTACAAAAATCAAAGTGTTGCAGTTTTTTACCATCTATTTGATAAATGGTGAAATCAAACAGTTATTTCATTTTGCTTCATATGTAATAAATGCCAACGCCTATATAGCACTGATGTGACGGCGTTTTTTCAATAAATTCCAACAAACCAAACACATACTAGAACAACTTGGATGCTTAATAAAAAAATATTTACCAAATGCATTGCTGCACAGTCGAGTGCTAAAAAGTTAAAACTATCTAAAATAAAATTATGGTTGCAGACTTCCATTCCAAGGGGGAGATCTTAGGTCTCCATTGTCCATACCATTTCTTATAAGGGGTGCAATGTGGACAGGCTCAGGTTGAAAATGTTAAAATTTGATTGGCCCAGCTCAAAGCTGTGTAAACTCTTCTTCAAATACAAAAGGACAGCTTTGATTGTAGTATGAGTAGTAAAAAGATACCCTGTTTTGTGCTAAAACAAAGAAAACCTCCATTTGTTTTGGTGAATTATCTTCTGGTCTAAGACATTATTTTTATAAATTATATATTTTTTGTTTAGCAACTTGAAAAGTAAAAATTTCATGAAGGTACAACTTTCAAAATGGACCCAATTTGGTAGTCTTTGTGTCAAAAGTGTTCTTCCATGCCAAATCCTCATCTTTAGCATTTAGTAAATTTCATTTTGAAAATTGAAGTTGTTTCCCCTCAACCCTAAAGCAACATATCTTCTAGGAACTTGGGGTCAGTTTGGTACTTCGGTTCAGGAGTTTGCATGGTTCAGGTTTAGTTATTAAAAAAAAACAAGGGATTTTTAGACTGTACTTCACATCAGAATTCTGATTTGAATTGCAGACCTACAATAATTCAAAATTATAAACAGTTCCACCTATAACACTCATACCTACCTGTGAATTGACATCAATTC